TCAGATATAAACAGAAAATCAAAATTTGCTTTTTATGCATAAAAAAAATCCTCACTATTAATATCTAAAGATACGAGATACTAGAAAAAATGACAATGAACTAATTCCATGGGCAAATTTTAAACACGAATATCAATTTTGAAAATGCTTTGAACGATATCAAAGCATTTTGTTCAAAAAAACCTCACTAAAATGACTATAACTCAACAAGGAAGATTCATCTCTAAAGTGATGTATCAGTTAAGTATCTTTATTCTTTAAATTTATAACTCAACTTTATATGAAACTAAATATAACATTTATAAAGTAGAGCCCGTTGAATTGATCCTGGAACTGGATTCGATGGGCTCTAGTGTAGGATATTTAAATGAATCATAAACAAAGAGTTTGAAAAAAACAAATCACCTTTCGTTTCAGTATTCATTCAACAGTAACTAACATGAATTTCTAATGGACATTGATTAAATATTTTCATAAAACCAGCACTCATATGAACTCATGGTACACTTAAAATACCATTTAATGATATTGAATGATCTTGTTTTCTTTGAAGTGTATGATTAGAAATTGGTGAAATATTTTCATAATCATTATTTCGTTTTAATGTATTATTATTTGTATCAATATCATTTTCATAGAATGTTTCTTGTTGTTCTTTTTTTTTATATAATTTTGATTTTGGTTCTCATTTTATTGTATTATCTTTAATAGAATCTTCATTTTCTTCAACATCAGCTTCATATATTACATATTACATCAACAATATGTTGAATTTCATTTAAAGATAAATTTTCAAATGCACTTAATGATAATTTTTTCATTAAAGTCTTAAAAAAAAAATAAAAAGATAAATACACATATATATTTGAATTTGATATATTTGAATTATTATTTTACATGAATATTTTCTTCAGCTAAACCTAATGATTGTAATCGTTGAATATGTTCGACATTTTCATTATTCTTATTTTTTGTTGATAATGGAACATTTAATGGAGAATGCTAAACATAGAAAAAAATTAAAATTAAAAACAAAAAGGAATCTCCTGAAAAATATTTTTTATTATATATTATACTCTATTGCTGATTGAATTGTTTTCATTAATTTTAGTTTGAATTGAATTATTGAGAATTGAACCACGAATTAATGAGGATTAATTTAAATTTGTCACAAGAGGTCAAACACCTAAATGATTCAGTTTTAGAAAACATTTTTTTTAGTGCTCAAGAATGAATTTTACAATGAAAGTTTCACATTTTTTTGATTGTTCCTACTCTAAAATAAGAATATTGGAAGCTGCTGATGTATAAAGTCATTTGTAAAAAAATATAAGATCAATATTTTTTCTTTCTACGATATGAAGCATTTAACTGATATCTAAATAACAGTTTGAATACCAAATAAGTCCTCTATCAAATGCATTCCATACGGAAATTTCATCGATGAACAATGAGAGGAAGATTTCTGAAAAACTAAACAAACTAGTTTTCACATCGTATAAAACTATGTGAAAATTTCTTTTTCAGAGTATCTTAGTAAAAAACTCAAAATCTTGAATAAAAAGAAAAGTTGCCACATGTCCTATGATCTTCCTTTGAAAAGTTACACGGTTCACAAAAAATGAAACCAAAGAGGAGTTTAATTACAGCCTCGCTAAAAGACGTATTTTCGAGTGTGAGTGAGACTATATTCATTTTTTCACAAGCTCACAGTTACACTTACCACAGTATTGCGCAAAAAGAAAATACTGTAAAAATGTAATATCTCAGTAGCAATAAAAGAATAGCTTGCGCTTTTCTCATTCTATTCATAAACTTATTAGAACCTATATAATACACATAGTTTCGATTCTAACAATATGACTTTGGTAATAGGTTTTTTTTTTCTTACTTGATGATGATACTGCTTTCGTATCTCTAATTGATGTAATCGTATGTGGTGCTCGAAAGATATTCTAAAATAACTAAACGAGAAAAGCTGATTATAACATTTAAAAATTCCATTACTCTATCATCTTTATCGTTATCTCTATCTTCGGATATGGTATTATTCATTGCTTCATTATATAATCTATCCAAGAGGTCTTTTGCAATTTGTGTTGTTAAATTTTCTTGTAGAAATGGATGCTAGAAAAAAAATAAATTTAAACAAACAAAAAAATTCTTCATCATTGAACTCTTCTTATTTCTTTTTACTTCAAGTAATCTTTTAACTGATGATCTTTTCCCTGGATTCTTCATTAAAGCATATTTAATAAAATTTTGAAATGTTATTGATCATTTTGTTCTATGTTTTAATGTTGGTGGTTTAAAACTTGATTTAGACATTAGAAAAAGGACATGCATAGTATGTAAATCAAACATTAGTAGTTGTAATTCAGCAAATTCAATTGCTGTAATACAAACAGTCTATATATCACATAAATGATTATAGCCACCTTTTCGTTCAACAGCGGCAACTTCTGGTACCATCCTAAATTTCAAGCTGAATAAAGAAAAACAAAGAATAGTTTCGTTGTTCATACGAATATGGTGTACCAGTAAATGATTTTCGTTTACACATAGTCTCATTTATACTTGCTGCGACACCAAAATCAGCTGAATCAAATAAAAATAAACTTTCAAAGGGACCATCCATTAAAAGATGTCCAGGTAAAATCGTAATCATTTTTTACCACCACTATCACTTCCCCTCCCCTCCTGTTCAGTTTCATTGACTCCTTTCTGAAAGTATAATGTAGAAAAAAAACTTGCTAGAAAGAGCCTACTTGCTCAAATATACCTCTTTATTTTTATTAAATAATTATATCAAAAACTGAAATAAATAAATATATATTTCATAAAACAACAAACAAGAATACACACTATTACAAAGTTTTTGTTTTTTTTTAACACACTGTATATAAATGGATAGAAAATCGTTAAAAATAAAAAATGAAGTTCAATATAAATGTTAATCGACAATCTAACAGCGTTTATATTACTGCTTAAAAAAATAATAAGCTGCCCATATAGAATAATTTTCAATAATATTAACATCATATTCATATTCAATTTATTCACATTCAGTTTCTTTTCTATTTAAAACTGCTTTTCCAAACAAACTAACAAAGGAACCTTCTTAAATATCCTCTTCAAATTTCAATGGTTGTTTGTCTATAGAGGACCCAAACTCTTTTAAGGCTTTTCTTAGCGGCGCGCTTGTTTTGGAAGGAGAAGGAAGTAGCAGGTATCATCTACTCTACCTCCGTCGTGTTATCAAGAAAGAAGACAGTATTCTATTTTTGCTACTATTTCTGATCAGAACACTATGTCGTATCTATAGACAAAAAAAAAATTGTAGACATCGAAAAAGAGCATCTAACGAGATTTCCT